GCCCGTCACGTCCAGTTGAGGCAATGCCTCCACAACTACTCTGCGTTACCAAGAGTAAGGGTCCCGCTGTGTTCGGCTGTGCAGCCCAGAAGCCCCAGGCAGGGGCCCAGAGGAAGCCCTGAGCACATATCTGATTGATTGATATGAGCAGTGCGTTATAGGTCAGAGAGCTACTTTTCACTCCTGGGTGTCAGAATCCTCAGCGCTTTATGAACGTACAGGTGGCTGGGCTCCATTCCAGACCCACTAGGTCAGTATCTTGCAAGGGTGGGTCTAGGTTTGTGCATTTGGAGGGCAGAAGCGCCACTGATGATTTTTTTTTTTAATGTTTATTTTGGAAAGAGAGAGAGAGAGAAGGCGAGCAGGGAGGGGCAGAGAGAGAGGGAGACACAGAATCCTTACCAGGCTCCAGTCTCCGAGCTGTCAGCACAGAGCCAGACCAAGGCTTGAACTTACCAACTGTGAGATCATGACCTGAGCCGAAGTTGGATGGCCAACTGACTGAGCCTCCCAGGCGCCCCCCTCCACTGATAATTCTAAAGTAGTAATAGTTGGGGCATCTGGGAGGCTCAGTCTGTTAAGCGTCTGACTTTGGCTCAAGTCGTGATCTTACAGTTCATGGGTTTAAGCCCCGCGTTGGGCTTTGTGCTGACAGCTCAGAGCCTGGAGCCTGCTTCAGATTCTTTCTCTCTCTCCCTCCCTCCCTCTCCCTCCCTCACACTCTTGTCATCTGAATGGATTCTTTTAGCACAATTTGAACACTCCTTTCACTCAGCATAATGTATTTGAAATTCAACCGCGTGCCTTCCAGAAGGCAGCTCTAGCCTGCACCTGCCTGATGGTTTCAGGGACACGACGAGAAGGGTACAGCCCTGGCTGTGCCTCTGCTGTCCCCTTTGCCTGGAGCACCCCTCCGCTTTCCTCCAGGTGCCTGAAAGATGCCTGATGGTGTCCGCTCTCACCCCCAATTCCTCTTCCCTAGAGAACCGTCAGAGTGCTGACAGATGGGGCTAAGGGACTGGTTAGTGCTGGTAGTTGCCAAGGTACCGCACAGGCCAGGGCACCCTCTGCTCTTTTCCCAGAAGCTCAGGCCCCCAACTTGTCTTCCTGTCCCTGCACCTCCAGCCCGTCCTCCCATGGCCACCGGATTCTTCCTGTGGCTCGGCTGTGACCCTGTTGCTCTGGCCGCGGCAGTGTCGAGCTTTTGTTACCTGTGCCGCCTGCCACACACTGCTGTGGAAGCTGACTGGGGACACATCTTCTCAGTCTAGTTCTTTTTCTTTTTCTTTTTTTTAAATATTTTTATTTATTTCTAGGAGAGAGAGAGAAAGAGACAGCGTGAGCAGGGGAGGGTCAGAGAGAGAGGGAGATACAGACTCCGAAATAGGCTCCAGGCTCTGAGCTGGCAGTCAGCACAGAGCCTGACGCGGGGCTCGAACCCACGAACCGCAAGATCATGACCTGAGCGAAAGTCGGACGCTTAACCGACTAAGCCACCCAGGTGCCCCTTCTCAGTCTAGTTCTTACACCCCCTCTTCTCCCCCTGCCTTGCAGAACCCCGCTGGGTGTGCACCTCCTGGTGGTGGTGGAGGTGTAGGTGGCGGGTGAGGGCCTGGGTGACGGGTTGGGGGCTGGGCCTTCCATCTCTGGGGGTGGGGGAGGTGTGGGAGATCGGGGCCCCGCCTCACCTACAGCTCCTGGCGGTCACCAGTAAACCGTCACTGTGGCTGCCACGTCACCAGTAAACCGTCACTGTGGCTGCCACGTGGAGAGACTGGATTATTGATTAGTTGTCGGCTCCCAGCCAGTCAAGAAGGCACTTTGCCCCCGGGCGGGACTGGGGTGCTTTCTCTCTGGCATAGAAGGGACCAGACTGGCCTCCAGCAGATTAACAAGGCAGAAGGGCAGGGCCCAGCAGGAGATCCTTGGCCTTGTGCTAGGCCCCCAGGCTGCCACCTGCCACAGGTGGGCTACACCCACTGGCCCACTGATTTCTCTTCGGTGGAATCCAATCTCCAAGCTCCTGTCAGGAAACTTCTCAGTGTGGAGGGCCTCAGGGGCTGAGGTTCAGGATGCCCTCCACCTCTGCAGCAGGGATAGGGTTTTGGAAAAGATTCCTCCCCTATCCATACCCCTTTCTTCCTTGGCAAGACAAACTAAATGGACACATTCAGAGCCCAGCAAGAACAACCCTGTCTATGTTTCCCTGACCTGTGGCCCTGTGATTACATTTTGACTAATAGAAGTAACAGTGGTGTATGGGACTTCTAGGAATTGCCTTTAAAAAACGTTTTTCTAACCCCTTCTTCCTTTTCACTACCGACTGGAATGTAGGTATGATGGCTGGAGCTGCAGCAGCCATCTTGGGCCACAGTTATATACTGAAGATGATAGCAATAATATGAAAGGAGGCTGGGTCTCCATGATTATGAAGTTCCACCTTAGCCCTGGCACCCTATCTCCAGACCTCACGTATGTAAAAGCGAATTAAATTCCTGTCTTGTTTAGGCTGTTTGTTTTGGGGGTTTTCTGTTATTCACAGCTGAATCTAGTCATGACAGAGCACAGTGTCAGGGAGGGGGAGTTCAGGGTGCATCCTGTCAAAGCAGGTAGGTGTATGTCTAGAGATTCTTTTGGGTCCATAGCGTAGGCAGCCGACTTGAAGTAGTTTAAGGAAACAGAGAAATTTGTTCTAATTCCAAGATGGCAGTAGAATTATGCCTCAGGGACCCCCAGCACCGGGGGCTCAAACCTCACAGAAATTTTTGTTTGCCTCTCTTGCATCTGCCTCGATTCATTCTTGGGTCTTACAGACTGGCTTTCTCCACAGAGGCCAGAACACGGCTGCTCACAGCCCTCAGGTTCTCCGCTTACAGTCTGGGCCACTCGGAGGGACATGGGCTTCCTGAGGCTCGTCTGACCAGGACAGGGGCAGACAGACTCTGCTTTCAGCAGGGCCAGTGGTGTGCTGGAGGGGTCCGACCAGGGAGGGCTGAGCTTCCCTGCCCTGAGGGCTCTGGAACCACACCTAGACCTCGGGGGGTTTTTTTGCTGGTGACCGTTGTCCTGATCATCCCAACTGGAATAGTCACCCCGCCGCTAAGATCTGGGGCTCCTGGACGAACTGAATAGTGGGGGGAAGTGTTGGTGACATGATAGGGACTGGAACAAAGGCCTGATGAAACTGTTGAGTCGTGAAACCACTGAGCTCAGCAGCGCGTCTGTCTGCCTGCCTGGGTTTGAATCCCAGACTCTCCCCTTGCTGGTGGGTGGCTGTGGCCTTGAGCAAAGCACCCCTGTGAGCCTCTACCCCTTTTCCTTTGAGAGGGGACAGCCTGTTGTGAGGTGTGAATGAGACAGGGCGCGTGGTGCCCGTGGGACCCAGTAGGTGCTTCCCGCGTGTTAATTGTCCTGGTTGTCACCGATGCTGTCCCTCCCTCCCAGCGGCGATGGGAGCCGCCCCCACCAGCTTGGTGAGCTGTTAACTATTCATACAAGGAGCCAGCCGTTCCTCGGTGGACCTTGGCCGTGGCGGGAGCGTGCACGCCGCGGTGATGGCCAGAAATGATGAATGAGGGCTTTTATTTTGCTTCAGGGAACTGCAGTTGAGCCCTCAACACTGCAGGCTTGAACCTCGCGGCCGCGCTTTTACGCGGATCTTCCTTACAGCGCACCCGTGGTCCTCCGCGTTTCCAGAGCGTTCCTCTCCCATGCCCACCTCCCTTCTGAGGCCCGGAGACATCCACTCCGCTGTCCTTGCAGGTTGTCACGTGAGGCCCCCGTGTCACCTCCGCTCCGGGCACCTCCGTGCTGACCCCTGTCTCTGCCGTGGGCCCGCTCACCCTCAGCCCTCCCCACACGGTGGGGCTGAAGGGAAGGGCAGATTCTCCATCCTCAAGATCATCTGGCTGGATGAAGAATTAAATTGATGTGAGGCAGAGTAACAGGAGGAGAAAAACCCAACCCCAGAGTTGTATTAGGAGCCCACGGTGGCCCAGTGATAAAGTGGAGACCTGAAGAAATGACCAAGGCAGACAGTTTTTATACTTTTGAGACAAAGACACCGTGAATCTATAAGAAATTGGCAGGATAAATAAAGCTTAACTTTGGGTGGGTGGGGGGCGCCTGAGGGGTTCCATTGGTTGAGTATCAGACTCTTGATTTCAGCTCAGGTCATGATCCCAGGGTTGTGGGATCAAGCCCCGCATTAGGCTCCACGCTGAGTATGGAGCCTGCTTGGGATTCTGTCTCTCTTCATCTGCCCCCTCCCTCTCATTCTCTCCACCCCCCCCCTCGCCCCGCTCCGATCCTCCCTCCCTCTCTGTCTCTCTCTCCAATAAAATTTAAAAAAATTTTAAAAGAAAGCTTAACTTTGGGAGCTTCAGTTAGTAAGGAATTTTAAATTCCTTAGAATTTAGGGGTGGCAAATTAATAAAAAGTAACAAGGGTTGATTATACAACCTTCTCGCCCCTGAACTTCCTATACCTGGTAATAAGGGCATCTCTTCACCTCCCAGTACAGGGAGGGCACCTTTCACATGGGCCATTTATTTCCTGCTTTCAGGGGGACAGAGGAGGGTCTGCGTATCCTTCCTGCACGGGCCATCTCTTAAGGAATTTTCATTTATTTTTTAAAAAATTTTAACGTTTTAAAATAATTTTTATTTGAGAGAGAGAGAGCGAGAGAGCGCATGCACAAGTAGAGGAGGGGGCAGAGAGAGAGGGAGACATAGAAGCAGGCTCCAGGCTCCGAGCTGTCAGCACAGAGCCTGATGCGGGGCTGGAACTCATGAAGTCAGATGCTCGACCGCCTGAGCCACCCAAAGCCGCCTTCCCAGCCAATCCAGAGCTCTAGAAGGTACACGGACTTCCGCGCCCCGGGCTCCCCCCTCCGCCTGCCCTCTAATGCACCTGCTGCCTCCTCCAGGGAGCCATGTGACTGACGACTCCTCCCTCGCCGCATCGTGAGATGATTCAAGGCACACAGAGTCCCTGGCTCGGAGAAGAAATTTAATAGAAGTCCGTCCCCTCCGTGTTGGGGGACGGCCAGGTGTGTCAGGCCTGGTGGTTGTGTTTGGGGAATTGAAGGTCCAGGAAAGGAGCTAAGGCCAGTGCTGTGAGGCCATAAGGGAGGGGAGACCTGGGTTCTGGGACTCCGGGCGGGGTGCCCCCTGCTTGGTGTGGAGATGTGGGTCTGGGTCTTGCTCACTTGGTCGATCATTGGTTGATTTGTTCCTGGTCAACCATGAAGTGTCAGCTGACTTCCAGCCGGCAGGTGGCAGGTGCGGGTGGGGAGTGGCGTTGGGAGGCAGAGGCATCCTAGGGGCCGAGCAGGGTGGCCCTGGGTCAGTGTCAGGTGGATCTCGATGAGGCGGCCTGGCTCTGCTCACACTCTGTCTCAAAAAAAAAAAAGGTAAATAAATAAACATTGAAAAATTAAAAAAAAAAAAGTGCACCCATCGTAAGTGTAAAACTTGGCAGATTTTCACAAACTGCACTCTCCGGTTTAACCAGGCTCCGCCTCAAAACCAGAATGGGTCCCCATTCCCAACCCCCTGGGGCCCCCCTCCCAGTCATTGTCTCCCAAAGGCAACCACCGCCCTGGCGTCTAGGGGCCCGAGCCTGCCCTGCCCGGGGCTGCACTTCATACATGAATGGAGCCACCCATCGTGCACTCCTGGGTCTCCATCCTTCAGCACAAAATGCTGTTGGCAAGACTTACATGCCCGGCTGCCTGGACTGTGTGGTGGAACGCTGCAGAGTTGCTGACATTTGGAGTTTGGTCCACGGCTGCTTCCCGTCCCGTGTAGACAGCCGCCTGCTGTCCGTGTGGACTGCGTGGTGCTGAGCGACCTCTGTGGCCGGGCCTCTGGGCTGGGCTGGGCCCCCCCTTCCAGCAGACTCTCCAGGAAAATGAAACGTGCCTTGAAGCGGTGTCTCTCCCGGTGCCGTGGGGGTGACACTGGAACCACGGGGCCGCGGTGGCTTCTGTGGCCTAGTTGGAGGGGCACCCTGGCGTGTGTGCTCTGTGACATTGCGGCTGCAGTCCGGGCGGCTGGCCTTGCGGCTTCAGGTTGCCTGGGTTGGGCAGTGGATGTGGGACCTCTGCTTCTCTGACCTTCGAGTGCTTCTTCCTCTTCTTTTTAATGTTTATTTCTGAGAGAGAGACAGAGCATGAGTGGGGGAGGAGCAGAGAGAGAGGGAGACACAGAATCCGAAGCAGGCTCCAGGCTCCGAGCTGTCAGCACAGAGCCCGGTGCGGGGCTTGAACTCGTGAACCCTGAGCTCATGACCTGAGTTGAAGCTGGACCTTTAACCCAACTGAGCCACCCGGGTGCCCTCTGGAGTGCTTCTTAAAGAGAAGACTGACAGCAGAAAGTGCCAAGACATGCGCTTGGTGTGGTTACAGCTTGTAGGCGGGTACCGCTGCTGGGGGGGGGGGGCATGCTCCCCCCAGAACGCCTCTCTGGGGTTGACGAGCCCACCTAGGTCCTGGGCTGTCAGGTCTCTCCCCGGCGATGCCAGAGTCATGCCTCCCCCCGCTGGCCAGTCATCGGTCGCTGCGGGGTGCCAAGGCCAGGCCCGGGGTTAGTTTCCTGGGCTGCCGTCAGGGCTCCCACCAGCCGAGTTTCCTCATAGTTCTGGAGTCCAGAAGCCTGAGGTGGAGGCGTCGGCAGGGCTGGTTCCACTGGGGGGGGGGGGGGGGGGGGGGGGGGGGGGGGGTGGAAGGGGGAGAGCCTGTCCCAGGCCTGCGTCTGGGCTTCTAATGACCTCAGGACTTCCTCGCTTCGTAAATGGCACTCTCCTTGTGTCTTCGCCTCATCTTCCCTCTTTGCGCGTCTGGGCCTTTTGCTGACATTTCCCCTTTTTGTGAGGGCGCAGTCATATTGCACCAGGCCTCACCCGTACCGACCTCGTCTGAAGTTGATCATAGGCAGAGACCCTGTTTCTAAAACTAAGGTCAGGTCCTGGGAGTTAGAGCTTCATCTTTTTTGGAGCAGCATTTCAACTCCTAATAACCCCTTTGCGTCAGTTGGGGCCAGGATGCCCCAGGGGGTGGGCTCGGTGTGGGGGGGGGTGCAGAGGCCTCACTTCCTGTCCCGCGGCATATCAGCTGCCCCCTCCCCCAGGCCTCTGCACCCCGGAGCCCTCCCTGGCCAACTCTTGCACATAGCTCCCTGTCTCAGAGTTCGTTTCCGGGGAACCCAGGACTTGGGGCAAACGCAGGGACACGGAAATTACCAGAATCAGCTTTGCTTGCAGTGCAGGCTGGTGATATCCCTTGAAGGGATGTCAAAAAAAATTCTGCCTTTTTTTTTTTTTTTTTTTTTTAACCAGCAAAAGATGGACTTGGGAATAAAAGAGAATTGCAATCTTGGACAAGTGAGTGGCGGCAAAACCGCTGGAAAGTCCCAGAACAAAGGGGAGGCACACTTTTTAAGGAGGGCAGGAGACCGTCGGGAAGGCTGGCCTGAGCTAAAGTCCACTGCCATTTATTGGGAGTCGGAAGTGTGGTGGCTTCTCACCGGCTGAGCTGTTGCTGGTGGGGTGGGGGAGATGCGCAGAGTTCCTTCCTCAGGCTGCAGTAGTATCCCTGCACAAGGTCAAGTCTGTGTAAGGTCAAGTCCATCCCTGCCCACCCCTCCTGGCTACACTGTAGCGAGTTCCTGTTATTAACTCTCATAGGACCCACCTGTTGTGACCACCGCCCGAGGACAGGCCTGTGTCACGCTCTGCTTCTGTAGCGTGAGGTAAAGACCTCATGCTGGGTGGCCGGGGCTCTGATTCCCGTTGTGCCACACTGGCTGTGTGATCTTGTGAAATTACTGAACCTCTCTGGGCTTCAGAATGCTAACTAATAATACCTTCTTCCTAAGGTGGATGTGAAAACTAAGTGAACTCATCTGATAAAGCTCTCATGACTGTGCCTGGCACACAGTAAGCGCTCCATAAATGCTCGCTTTCATTATTGCAGGTTTGGAGTCAGCCGGTCTGCAGACAACGCCTCCAGACTCCCAATGGGGGTGGGGGGTGGGGGGGGGGTGGAGAGAATCCTGAGCAGGCTCTGAGCTGACTGGAGCCGAAGTCAGATGATTAACTAAGACACCCAGGTATCCCATGTTTTTTTTGTTTTGTTTTGTTTTGTTTTTTAAACAAAATTACAATTTTTCCATTTGGAAATAGTTTAAGACTCAAAAGAAGTCACACGACTAGGACTGAGAGTCCCCAGCATGATGCTTTTACCCCCAGCACTTCCGACGCCGGACACCTGGGTTTGTTTTCTCACACCAACAACCAGTTCTCTGAGGGACACTCCAGTGGAGTGTTCATCTGGCACTAACCACCCAGAGCTAGCGTCAGACCCCACAGGTGAAGGGTTCCTTCCCACAAGAGGGCCCTTGCTTCTGATGCCAGGCCCACGCCCCGGGTCCCCAGGTTACCCACACCTCTGTCTGACTTGGCTACAAAGTTGGGGAGTTTCCACAGTCCCCCTCCCTTACGGGTTCAATAATTGACTAGAGCAGCCCACGGGACTCCGGGAGGCACCTGATGTGTGTTTTCTGGGTGGTTCTGAAGGTTACTACTCAAGAACAGCCAGATGGAGGAGACGCATAGGACAAGGGATGGGGCGGGGGAGGGGGCTTAGGGCTTTTATGTAGGTCTCACTATGCAGCCACAGTGATTAAACCACTGGACACTGGTGATTAACTCAACCTCAGCCCCTCTCTCCTCCCCAGATGTCCCGCGTGGGGTGCGGTTGGGGCTGAAAGTTCCAACCCACTAACCATGTCTTGGTCTTTCTGGCGACCAGCCCCCACCCCGAAGCCATCTAGGAGCCCCCAGTGACATTAGTGGCATACAGTAGACACTCTAAGCTCTGGAGATCTCCAGAGGGTTGAGGACTGTGCACTGGGAACCCAGCACAAAGACCCGGGCTTAGTTTTTACTGTATCACACCCAGTTTTCCCCAACGATGATATTTTATGTAGCTGTACTGCCTGGTCAAAATCAGGAAATGGATGTTGCGGCAATACTACTAATTCAGGGCAAACCTTATCACACTGGTGTTTTTTTTTTCCTTAAGTCTTTATAAATACTTAGAAAAACAAAAATTAAGGAATGGGGGCGCCTGGGTGGCTTAGTCGGTTAAGCGTCCGACTTTCGCTTAGGTCATGATCTCACGGTTCGTGGGTTCGAGCCCCGCGTCGGGCTCTGTGCTGACTGCCAGCTCAGAGCCTGGAGCCTGTTTCAGAGTCTGTGACTCCCTCTCTCTCTGACCCTCCCCTGCTCACGCTGTCTCTCTCTCTCTCCTAGAAATAAATAAAACATT